TGCAGATAACGACGAACAAAATCGAACCTCTTCTCCAAAACCATAGGCTTAAGACTAACCAAAATATAAACCTGATGAAGCTGAATAAGTTTTCTTAGGCGCCTGGGAGTAGCTACACTAGCTATACCTCTCACATTCCAGATGATGGCACTCATCTGGATTTACGTGAAGAGGTATCCTGCGATCGACTCCTTGTCGACATCCTGGGTATTAAATTGTCAGTAACTTTTGAATGTCTCTTCCGACTTACTGGGACAAATCCATCCTCCTCTGTCCTATCTGCCAGACCAGTCAAATCATCAAAAGAAGATCTACGAAAAGGACCCTGCTGATGAACGTCAACCTGAGGGAAACCCCCAGAATCCGATTGCTCTGTAGAAAGAAGACCTTCCATATTCTGTTGACACTGTGCAATAGGCACATCCGTACTACTGATGCCCTGCGGCCTCTCGAGCGTATCCAACAAGAGAGGGTCAAAGTATGTAGAAGTAACTGTCAGAGGAGTAGAGCTGGTGGGGATCGAAGCCTGAATAAATGAATGATCGACTGGTGTAACAACATGTGGACACTGAGGAACAAGCCTGTGAGGAGCAACTGTCGACAGATTTGATGGCATAGAAGCAGTAATCTGTGGTTCAATAGTACTAATAACAGGTGGAGCAATAAAGGGGGTAGTAGCCATACGTGTGGAAACTATCTGTGCTGCAGTAGTTGTGGTGCCCGGGGTAATGGGAGGAATGGAAATCAAATCTGATGGACCATCTTGTCTCTTCTGATTTCGCTTAACCGGCGTCCACCTCTACCGAGGCGCTATCACAACCTCATTCTCCTTACCCTTATCCTTAGCCAGGGTTAGTGGAGGCCTAGCAGTCTGATCAACAACCAGAGGGAACACTGATGGTGGGAGGATGTGGGCCACTAGAACATTTATCATCCATATGTCTAAAGTGTCTACATTGAAAGCAAAAATTCGGAACCTTTTCATAGACAACAGGCTGCCAATACCTAACCCATTTCTCCCGCTCAATCCGAATTCTATCAGGGAGTCTACATTCCAAATCAACCTAAATACAAACCCTAGCTTCACTAGGCCG